CATCAACCTATCCCCCACCAGGCCTGCTAAACCACGTCCCTAAGTGCCTCATCTAACACATTTCTTTAACGCTGCCAGGGACAGTGACTCCTCCGCTTACCTAGGCAGCCTGTTCCACTGCTTCACCACTCTCCCTGGAGACCTTTTCCCTAATATCCAACCTGAACCTCCCCAGCACAACTTGAGGCCATCTCCTCTAGTCCTATCCGCAGTTGTTCTGGAGAAGAGCTCCATCGCCACCTCACCACAGCCTCCCTTCAGCTAGTTGTACAGTGATAAGGTCTCCCCTGAGCCTCACGTTCTCCAGACTAAACCACCCCAGTTCCCACGGCTGCTCCTCCTAAAGTCTCTGCTCCAGAGAAATCCTCAACACTAGACTGTACCAAAGCAGAAGAACCACAGCCCAATAGTTCTGATTAATTGCATTTTAGAGTAAATGAGGTCTACAGGTGTATTTACTAATAGAGATTTCAAAATTGTTACTGCTGTGAGAAAGGGATGGAAAAGATAGGCATTACTCTAAAATGTACCGAGAAGAGAGAAAAGAGATAAAGACATGTCAATGTTTTTTTTTTTTCCTAAAGCATTGGTGCACACAAAATTATACACTGTGTAATTTTGGTCATCCATTTGGAAATCAAGTTAAGGCACCTGAAATATTCCCCAAGATGGGTCCTCAAAGTGTTTATATTATAGGATGATTTTCTATGAAGTGGCTTTATTTAACCTAAAAAGCAATAGAAAAGACAGAATGTGATAGCACTCTGCAAAAACACCATGCAAAAACACTATAGAGTGAGAAGAACCATCTAAACTAAAGCAAAAGGTTGGCACAAGGACAAAAGGGATTATACCCACTATGAATGAATTCAGAGTGGAAACTAGGAAGTGCCTAGCCATGAGAGCTCAGAGGGTATGGAGTAGCCTCACAGTGGGAATAACATAAGGAAAATAACCTAATTAGTCTTAAGTGGGAGATTGGGAAGTTTAAGAAAGTGACAACAGCAGGGGACTGGGTTTGGGAAGAGCCTTTTAGTCCTGTGCTCCAGGAGGAAGCCTGATCAGAGAACAAGGAGAGCCTTAGAGCCTGCATCTGCAGAAATCTGCATTCAGGAATATTCTTGCACATCAGGCTTAGTTAATCACCCCTTTACTTCACCAGCATCAGCACAAGATGCATGCACATGCCAGACACCTGCATGTGCCTGATGATAGGAGCAGTACCTGGAGACATAACCTGTGCTTTTACTTTACTGCTGATCTACTAGTTTGCCTTGAGAGGGAGGAGGAGCAACATAGCAACAAGATGCCAGAATAAGTGAAGAGGATTTGGGGTGCAAGACACTTTCAACATATATTGCCATGAAAAATAATATGCTGACCTTGGGGTAAATATGCTATAGAAGTTAATTTAAACCTTTTGTAAATATTTTTAATATTACTCCAATTTAATAGTTGTACCTTTTTCTTCTGTGTAGAATCCCACATAGAAGCCAGTTCACTAAAGGCAAAACACATTTTTTTTTGCCATTTCTACATAAAAATCCAAGAATTATCCCCATCACTATCATTTTAACAAGGAGAAAAAAAAAAAAAAAAAAAAAAAGAAATCCTATCTCAGCTTAATCCAACAGCAACATTGTCATCTTCACAGAAACATTTCACCCCCCAAACTTGTCTTCCAACTGAAGTGGAATTTCAACAAGCCAG